GGATCGGAAAACATTCTCTCAGCAGTTGCAATGCTGTATAATGTGCTAGGTGTACTGTTAATATTTCTAGTCTCCTCTAAATCACAACGTTGTCACGGAACACAAGCCAACCTAGTACAATATTTTTTTATGCTGCTATAGTAGCATAAAATGAAATGATGAAATTAAATACTTAGAATCAATATATTTTTCCTTAACTAATTACTGCAGATTCATTCTGTCACATAAGTATGTTGCAACATAGTTTCTACATTTATACATTCAGTCAGTAACAAGAATACAATAAACACCTGTAACAGATGTATTTACATGAAAGCTGAAAATTTTGCTAAATATTATATTCTATTAAAATCCAGTACAAGCATCCCAAAGCTGCATTGGCTCTATTCCAACTTGCAGTATTAACTGATATGAGAGCAACTATTTCGCATTTGAACACCTAACACCAAAATCAGCTGCAAAATAGATGCTAAATTGTTAAGGATTAATGCTTTTCAATTTTTTTTTAAATATAAGGAAAAGAGCAAATCATTGTTTAAAATTTCATGTACTCATTTCGTCAATTAAGCTTTTTTTTTTTTTTAAATACAGCAATAAGTAGTGTTTAATAAAAAAAAAAACAAGGATGAAAACATTACAAACTCCCACAGACACACTCTGCATCTACACTTAATAAAGATGTACAATTCTGCAAAAACAAAAATAATTGTGGAAATAGCAAACTTAAGTGGAAGCAGTTACTGATCCAATCAAATGAGATTCAAACTGTAATGAGATATCACACTTGGTATGTACAACTGTTCTACAGTTTCCATTTTATGTTCTTTGCCCATTATCATAGAATCATAGAATGTTTTGGGTTGGAAGGGACCCCTAGAGGTCATCTAGTCCAACCGCCCCGCAGGAGCAGGGACACCACTAACTAGATCAGGCTGCTCAGAGCCCCGTCCAACCTGGCCTTGAATTTTTCCAGGGATGGGGCCTCCACCACCTCTCTGGGCAACCTGTTCCAGTGTTTCACCACCCTCATCGTAAAGAACTTCTTCCTTATATCTAGTCTAAACCTACCCTGGTTTAGTTTAAAACCATTACCCCTTGTCTTGTCACAGCTGGCCCTACTAAAAAGATTTTCCCCATCTTTCCTATAGGCCCCCTTTAGGTACTGAAAGGCCGCAATCAGGTCTCCCCGCAGCCTTCTCTTCTCCAGGCTGAACAAGCCCAACTCCCTCAGCCTGTCCTCATAGGAGAGGTGCTCCAGCCCCCGGATCATTTTTGTGGCCCTCCTCTGGACCCAATTATATATGAAACTTTTTTGGAAGCTGTGTAACTTCTTCTTTAGCCAAACAATGTTTTTATCTTTTGGCATACATACAATGTTTTTATCATTTGGCATACATTTTGTCTTGATGTGCTCTCCTGCAGCAATAACATCACCATGCCACACTCTGTTTGCTTTGTTGCTCAGCATCACTGATGTCAGCACAGCACTGTAGGCTCAGAGTTGTACACAATCTGTGAGTGTTATTTTGGACAATTGTTGTAAGAAGTTTACGCCATTTTTTCTCAAGATTCAGAGTGTTGTCCATTTCCTTATGGAAAAACAATCTAGTAAGTTTTTATCTTGTATTTTGCTCCAATGACCCCAGCATGCCTTATGACCCCGACATGCCCTAATGCCCCAATTCTGTAAAGGAACATGCTGTGTGTTCCCTGGACATGCTTTTTTTTTTTGTTTTTGTTTGTTTGTTTTTTAAAGCTTTCCAGTCCAGAAGAGACTGTTGGAATTAAGCTGTCCATAGTCTCAGTTGCCTCATTAGAGAGGACTGGACTAGTTCAGCTTGCTTTCTTTCACCATACATTAAAAAACCATAAGAATTAAGGGCTGAAAAAACCCTAGAAAACTATCAACCGAGTAACACCAACCAGACTGGAGTCTCCATGCCCAAGAACAATCAACCAGCCTGCATTTGTGATTACCATAGTAATCCCTGGTCCAGAATGGAGCACAAATCCATGACTAAATGGGGTAAGGGCTAAAACAAACATGATAAATCAGTCACTTCTGATTGAGACAGCATACAGACACTGGTGGTCATCACAGGGCAATGCAATCCAGCCTAAGCACCAGTGGCAGCCAAGGCTCAATGGTGCACCCTCTGCAACACATCTGTCCCACCGCTTACCTGAAGCCCAAGCAGAAGCAGTGCTAGTGGAGGGTTCCCCAAAACAAGTCCTGAGCCAGCATCTCAGACACCTTTCTTTTTCTCCAGATCTGGAGAGCACAAAGTCTTCCACAATAAAGCTGCTAATTCTTTCAGAAAGCACTAAGAAACTGCAAAAAAATTCCCACCAGCTGCCTTCCCACTGCCCTAACACAAACAAAACCTGTAACTAACCAGTATCATTATTC